GTAACCCGTCGGAGAGGAGAGGAATAAAAATGGGAGGAGCCCGCCATCGTCTCTGAACACCTGATCACAAAAGTCTTCTGACAGATCGCCAAAAATGATAGAAAACGAATAGCAAACGAGTATCGACCCAAATGCATACCTAAAGGTTGTCCCTGCGAACTCCTCCTCGTTGGCCCCCCGACTGTTGCTGGGTTGGGTAGCGCACAACTCGAGGTTGAAAGCCTTCGCCTCTGGCTTGTCCACCCTGGCGTTTGCTACCGCCTTGTCTCAAAGCTTGGCGATCGCGGTCAACTTCCACGTCTTCCAAACGCTTAAAAATACGTTCTCGATCACCATCAGAGACGTAAAACTATGGTAAAAGGGCGTAATCAGTTACCTGAGTAAGCGTAAGTTTCTGCTGGATAGCCAAACGAAGAAGCTGGTTGAGGGTCTTCTTCTCCTCCTCGCTATTGCGCTGATCAGCCTCTAGCTCTTCTACCTAAAACAGCGCAATCAAGAGGGCTATACCTGTGGCTTGTATGTGCTTTGAAATAAGGAAAAATTCGTGGGTAGCCGTTCGAGGCAATAGAAAACTCCTGAAGCTGATCAAGCTGCAAAATATTCCTCAGGTATGCAACGGAACGGAAAGAAAGAGAAAAAATGCATGAAATGTTCTGGATTGTGATGTCTCTATATTTATATTTTCAGCAGTGCTAAGAAAAGAGAAGTAAGCGAAGATAGATGCACCAAGCAATCCAAGAATTTTTTTCCCGCAATGAAACATATACTGAAGCTGTGCCCCAAAACTTTAACCCAATCGTTTCCTCGAACGTTGCACATAAACTCAAAGTTTTCGGTTGCGCAAACACTTTTATTTTGACTTTACCTACAAGTTTACAACGGGAGTTGACTTTTGAACAAGAAGGCTGGCCAAGAACACTGTAAGGTTCTTTCGTGAAAACGTAACATGAATGATGTAAACAAGCTTAGGTTACCTTTTCCTCAATTTTTGCGAAAGCAGCCAAACCTAAACTATGTCACTGAATTCACCCAATTAATGCAATGCCAACCCCTAAGGATAATATTTTTGGTGAATGAAAAAATTGTTGTTCTGAAAATAGGGTACTAGTGATGCACAGTACCACTTATTTGGATTTGTGTTCAAGGACTACTGATTTGAAGAGATTAAGCGCAAAAAGAGATAAAAAGCAAAACAAACGAAGCAAGCAAACTCATTCAACCTTACCTGAGCTTGCAACTCTTCGCAACGAGCTGTGAACATAGCACGATGGCTGGCAAAAGTGGCCGCATCCTCTTTGAGCTGTTTCAGCTCACGTCGCATACGCTCGCTGATTTCCTATAATCCGAACAATTTGATATGCACCAAAATCTCATAATTTGTTCTACCAACCTGATGGGCCTTCTTATCGGCTTCGTATTTATCCCGCAGCGACGCCAGAGCCGACTCAGCTGTCAATTTGTTAGACTTCAACACTGTACGCAAAGTAGAGATCTGGTCACTGTAATTCGAACATGTCTCCACGCAATTCCTCCGAATAAAAAATCCCTGATTTCTAAAACCTACCGTTTTGTACTTAACAATGAGCGTAGCTTCATATTTT